CCCCATGAGTAAAGACCCTAAGTATGAGGTTGGCATAACATCATCTAATGTTATTCCACTTTCCGTCTCAACAGTCATGAGATTTGCTGGGATGCCATTTTCAGGTAAAGAGTTTAATGCAACTTCATCAATTTCTAAATCAGCATAATGAGGATTATTACGGACAAGCCGCAATAATGCATTGTGTACTTTTTCTCTTCTTACATTAATTTAACATCTTTAAATGTGTTATCTCTACCTTTGACTTTAACAATAATCACAGACAATTCTTTTGGATATCTTGGCAATGATGTTGCAAGTTCTTTCATATTTTGTGGCAAGTTAAAACAATGCCCTGAGTAACCATGTTGTCCCCCAGGTTTAATATAAACTCTAATGATAGGGAGAGCATGAGCAATCAACATTTCTTCAACTTGAGTCAAATTTTGTTACTCATGTGGGACAGGTGAAGGAATCATTGAATTTTCAAGTGAAAATTTTTTAGGAGATTTTGTATCTCTAGAACATTGAGAGCATATATAACTATCAGGTGACATTGCTTTAGATTTTAATGGCCATGCTTCCTGACATATTGTGCATTAATTAATTGATAAAGAATTGAACAGATTTATGAAACTTAGTCATGTTTGATTTTGCCCAATTCTGTTGATGAATAATACTACCAGTTTATTCGATGTCAAATTGTTTCAAATAATCTTGTTGATTTGTTTTATTCCCAAAACTACACATTGTACCTTTTCTCTTGTACTGATTAGCACTACCAAGACGAGTTTGCTTTTCAATTAGAGTTTCCTGTGCTCGTTTTGTTTTTCGATATTTTCTATCATTTTCAATTCTACTTTGTTTTTCAGTCTCAGTTTCCTGTGCTTGTTTCTTTTTCTTATACTTTCTAGAATTTTCTAGTCTATTTTGTTTCTCGCTTTCAGTTTCCTCTGAACGTTTTTGTCTTACATGCTCTATTCCACTTTGGCTTGAATTAAGTGCACCTATTTGTGTTATATCAGAATTTGATAACTGAACGATTACTCCTTTCATTTCAAAGGGTGTTTGAATACCTTGAGGTACAGTATTTTGGAAATAGATTACCAGGTTTTCTATACCTTCAACAGACGCTAATATGCATTTTCCAAATGGATGTGGCATCCCATATAAATCTCTTGAATGAGAATCAAATATTTTAAATTTTTCTTCAGAAGTCTTAAATATTGCAACAGTGTTACAATCAATGGTCAACATGCAATGATGATAATTTAATTGAGTTTCACAAAACCATTGAGTGCATTTTCCAAAGAATAATAAGGTAGATTGGTTGTTGGTATGAATAAATCACCTCCAATTGGCTCACCGTATTGCAAATAATAAATGTTATCAAAAGCTGAGACCATTTCTGGCACATCATTTAAAAGCAAATAGCTTTTATTAATAGAATTACTTATAAAAGAATAGAGGTTATTTCCAGCACACAGTATGTCATTCAATAATGCTGAATCCCATGCATTAACATTTGTAATATGATTATACACTATTGCAGTCAACGACATAGCTAAACATATTGTTCACCAGCATTTTGTCAAAATTTTTTTATCGCCCTGGCTAAAATCAGCACAGATTGTTTTACTCGGGTCAACCACATCATACACTGTGGGTCCAGAATTTTCTTCCACATCATTTGACATTCTCAACAACAGTGCAACATACACAATGTAGCAAGACATTTTAGTGAATGACACTATCATTTGACTAAAACATTTAATAATAATAGCAGTGGCACAATGGCTAGCTTTAATATAAATAGCAGTGGCACAATGGCTTGCTTTACATAAATAGCAGTGGCACAATGGCTTGCTTTAATATAAATAGCAGTGGCACAATGGCTTGCTTTAATATAAATAGCAGTGGCACAATGGCTTGCTTTAATATAAATAGCAGTGGCACAATGACTTGCTTTACTAATAGTAGCAATACTATCAATAGCACAACTTGCTGCATTTAGTACCAGCTGAATTACAAACATCAACATCATGTGACGAAATTTACCTTCTAAGTGAGTCGAGTACTTTTTGATTTGTACGCAATTATGTGCTCTGATGCGGGCACGATATTGCTCAATTATTATGCCCATCAATGATTTTAATATACACAATCAATCTGTGATTTTACCTTTAAAATGTTGTATGTTTTGCGACTACTGCAGACTTTGTGTATTTATCACCACATTCAAGAATTCAATAAAGTTTACACTTTACACAACCTCTTGAATGCGTGTATCTAAGGGCCATTCGTTTTTCACTAAAACAAAAATCGAATTGCGATCATAAAACTTCGTTTTTTCTTTTTTATGTTTGAGAAAAACGGAAATAGAATTGAATTCCGTTTTCTTCGCCTGAAAAATGGAACCAAATAAAGATTTTCCTTCGTTACTTTCAAACTATTTTCTGAACATGGTAAAAACGGATTTTCAAACTGAATTTCAATTTCCATCAAAGGGCTGATTAGAAGTTTTCTCATGCTAACCCCCCCCCTGGATTTTCGCGCCTTTTTGTTATTTTCGTGCATTTTCCGTACGACATACTGGATATCAACACGACGCGAGATATGGAAGACGAAAACTTAAATTTTTCCTTCGGTGAAGGAGATGAAAGAAAAGATCGAAAATTAAAAAAGAGTCAAGTTAACGTAGAAAGGTTAGCCTGTATGTTTGGGGTAAGTGGATGGGATAAATGACCTGTTTTCGTTTGTGATTTTTAGTCTAAAATTTTCGAAGTTTACAAACTGAATGGTTTATACGTTGCACTTTGCAGTTGGAACTAATAGGAATACACATTGTTGACGAATTTTCGGGCAACACAGAGTGGCCAAACAAGGAAGGTCGGTTTGACTTGAGTGATTTTCGAAAGGAATCCTTTGTAAAAGTCGAAGGTGAAAGAAAAGGAAGAGCTAGTGCGTCAACCTCATTTGGAGGATTGCACTCGCTGCAGTCTCCTTCAAGCTCATTTGCTTCAAGTTCTAATTTCAGTGGATATTTTCCTATGTTCAGGTAAGTAAAAAACCCAGTTCAATTTACGTTAGGACAGAGAGGACTCCTCAGTTATTTCATGTTTTATTCACAATCATCATCCATTTCGAATATTAGCCTTGGGCGGCTAATCGTGTTAAAGTATAGAGTCAAGCTGATTAGACTAGTCGAAGTCAATGTAATGTTTCAGCAGTATGCAGTGTCAGTGGCATATTGAAGTGTAAAGTAAAAGTTTAAAGTATGAACAAAAATATTTGAGTCTTTTCTAACTTTGTCGAAGTCTCACTTGCAGCTTTTATCGGAAATATAAGTCGCGCATCTCACTTTAATGGGTCCACTCGCAGCTCGCAGCTGTTCAATTTTATTTCCTCGCAGCTACGCGTAGAGAATTTGATACATGTTTTTCAACCTGGGAAGTCAAGCAGTGGCGTAGCCAGCCTGACGATTTTGTCCCGCTATGTAAATTTCGAGTTATTATAATTATTCATGTCTTTAGAGATCTATTGTTTTCACAGTCAGTGAACACTACGCTACTGAAGTCAAGCGGCCTTTTTCTTCTATTTCCTTCTGTAGATCTGTTGTGCCTTCCAAAAAAAAGAGTAACAGCTACTGTCTGAAAGTTACACTGGCTAAGAAGAATGGGAATAAAGTGACAAATCAAACAAGGCAGACCTATGTTACCATAAATGATGTTACAGCGACTGTCCCGTACATAACTGCCCAATGCAGGGAAGAGTTTCAGAACAACACACTAATTCTCGTGTCTTCTAATTGTTTACCCATTGAAGATAGTGATGCAACTAAAGGTATGTCATCTAGTACACCACATCACAATTTTATGACAATTTTACACATGGCTATTTCGCCAATAAATGACTGTGTTTGTGAATTGTATCAAATAAATAATGTTATTTCTCACTTCCCATATATTGAACAAACCAGGTCACAAATTTTTATGTTAACAACGTACATAATTCACTCTCAGACAACCGCAAAATTTCAACGAAAATACACTTTTAAGCAAGCATTTTTAAGTTGAACTAAGTAATTGTCTTTGATGATGTCATGACAGGATTAGCATTTTGGAAGGCGAACTCAAGAAAAACATTTGCGGTACCGCAAACAGTAAAGAATGAGCGTGGTATCATATGTCTAGATGACGATCTTGATGATGATGATGACCCTGAAACAATTACTTTTGGTGAAAAATCAGGTAATATTGCATCAACCTGATACCATGCAATGTTATTCTATCTATAATAATAGATGTATATTCATAACAAAAAGTATGGTTTTTATAACCTTTGCTAGGTGAGACTAGTAAGAATATGAAAAGCAATATAAAATCTGCTGTGATGGATGCTGTCAATGAAGTATTACCAAAAGCAATGCAATCATTGCAAGAAAATTTTGAAAAAGCTTTGAAAAGTCATGTGAGCAATAAAGCATTTGTTGAGAAAGCACTGCAAAATTCATTTTTGAAAGAAATAACAGATTGTTTCCAGTGCATAATTTGTAAAGATACATCAACATCACCTATTATAGTTTCCAGTTGTTGTGAGTCAGTCATTGGTTGTTTTGAATGTGTAAAGACATGGACAGACACTGGAAAAACAACATGCCCAAAGTGCAGAGAGGATGGCTTCAACACTGCCACAATTTCTCTTAATAGTTTTGATGATTTTATCAAAAAGTTGCATTGAATATCATACAGTATATACAGCGATAGCAATGGACACAAGACTGTTAAACGCCTTCTTTTGAGATTAATGATTGATATCATCTAGACATTAATTGTTGTGTTATGTTCAAGTGCATCATGATAGCATTGCAAAAATGTGTATTATCATGATTAACTAGCTTGCCATATACCAGTTCCCAGTTAATATGATTAAATTGTTCCTCTCTTTCATTTTGTAAATGTGGATTTGTGAATAATGGATCTTGGGCAAATGCAGGAAAACGTGTTATCCTTCCACCATCGTTTTCATACCTTGCAACCGCCTCCTCGCATGTTGGAATCATGTTCAACGGCACTTTTGCCACTCTATTGTTGTTGTTTCTGAGATCAATTGGCCTTCCAACTCCTGTGATAATAAGAAATTATAAAAGGAACATTGTAAAAAAGTTTGAGATATGAAAAAAAAGTGAAAAAAGAAAAACAAAGTGAAAATTAAAGAAAATAAAAATTGAAGAGAAGCTTTCTCAAAGTTAACAATTAAAGCTAGTGCAAATAAACTCTGATGATGTCATAAAATAAATTGGCAATGAAGGTTTTCATTACGAAGATATAAATTAAACTAAATAATTGAAATTGATTATTAATTAAAGTAAATGAGAAAAAATTGTGCCAATTAAGAGAAGGATATTACCTGGTATAGCATGATGATTCCATGACCGAACTGCTTTCTCCATTCCCACAAAAGCTACTTTCAAACTGACTGATGAAACAGAATGTTTGACATTCTCAAGTTCCATGTCAATTAAATTTCTTTCCTCCATTTGACGCAAAGCTGATTTAATCGGGTAATTAACTCTTGCATTTACTTCCACCCAGAATCTTTCAATCACAAGATTCTATAAAATATAAAAATAAATGGTATGGTCCTGAAAATTCTACACAGGCAGAGTTTTTCATAAGCTTAATTTTTAAGTGGATAGACATTAAGGGTAAAGTACTTCTGTCTCTTACTCGGAAAACCTAGGAAGCAATAGCCAACCCCCCTGAGTTATTGGTATGAACTATCTTCTACTATTTGGTTTTATGATGCATACCTTTTTTGATTCTGTTTGACGATGGGGATCTCTACCTTGATTTGTTCTGAACTCAGCCAACATTTCTTGGACATACAGTAAGAGGACAAACTCCATCCCATGATCAACTCTGATCTGATCGAATAATCCTTCATTTAGTATGATATTCCTGTAAATGACATTCAACATTATAAAAGGAAATATCACCTATAGCCAGGGATGGATCAAGTGTGGTTTATAATATTCCAGAAAACAGCAGCATGGGGATATTAGAATGTATGTTTGTTCATAAAAATATGAAAGACAATGAGGTGTAATTAACTTTGATTGTTAGAGCCAGATTCTTGTAATTTAGCAACAATTCCATGCATAATTTTTTTAAATTTCAATTAATACCGAAATTTGCACCCCCAGTCACCCTTGCTTATGGCTCATTGATATATTTCAATATTTTCACATTTCTAATGTGATTTTCATGTGACTCATAATTCAATAAAAATTAAATACCTGAACATGTCATAAATCACGACATTGTTTTTTACTGGCATACATGAAAATGCAGTAATAAACCTGGAATATCCATCAATTGCACAAACATGTGTGACACCAAACATAGCTATTTTTTCATTCTGGTCTAAGTGCAACTTGTGGCCAAAATATTCTGCGATGTATGGATGTGGATTTGTAAGTCTTTCGGTTCGTGCGTTACGCTGTTGCTGGTATAATGGTGAAACCCTGGCCAAGGAATTTCGAACACGTTGCTCAGAGGCAAGTGAAAATCCACATTTGCTATCCAAATAACCCTTCATCATCTTCCGCCCATAAACTGGACCAACCTGTAAAAAATATTAAACAGTGAGATACATAAAAGCTACTATACTAGGGATCCAAGGATAGTGCAAAGTTTTCATGCCCTGTAATACCTAAGCAACACGTTTTCCCAACATAAACATTTTGCCTTATGCCAGTAAAAATATAATGAACTAGGTTAAACATTAATCACAAGGAAATTACTCAAAGTACTCAAGTTACGTTAGTCGCAAATACTGTCACTATTAAATTATAATTTTAGTTGCCCATGTAAACCGGGCGCGATTTTCTCAGTTTAGTCTCTTTTCTTCGTCAAACAACTGTGACTACATTCACTACATTTATATGATGGCAACAATTTACCGTCATTTCATAAGAATAGCCAAAATAGTTGCGTTGTAAATAATGTAAATAAACCGCGGTGCATATATTATGTCTATGATGTGGATACGTCGACGCGTAAATCGATACAAAACAATATACTTATAATCAATACTGTATACCGCCAAAATGATTTAATTACTGCACAAAATGCCCGTTTTGTATAGTACCATTTATGTACTGTATGCAGAATACCAGGTATCGACTTGCTATTGACATAATATATATTCGTCATTCGTGTAAGAGATTAGAGATCTATCAATACATAAACAACACAGTGTCGTTTCTTCCTAACCTCTTATGTAGCTCTATTTATGGAATAAACCTTCCAAATTATATTTGTGTCGAATTGAATGCTCGTAATTCATAACATAAGTTCATAAATTGCGTAGATTCTCAAAGAATTGCACGATTTTTACGCCCGGAATGTTTTGAAGCAATGGTCGTCGCTCCTCGTTTCTTTACATCGTGAATAATGTTGAAGGCTCGATGGCACATGCGCAGTTGCGACGTATAGGAAAAGAATCGGGTGTTCCGGGGGTAAATCTGCGCAAATCCCTTTGAAACAAAACCCAAACCGCGGAAAAGCAATGCTTCAAAATTTACAGTAACGGTCAAAATTTCTCAATATTTTGGTGAACTTAGCAAAAGGGATGTAGAGAATTAATAAATAAAGCAAGTTAAACTCATTTAAAAACTTTGAATTACTGATCATATACAAAAAGGTACTATACGCATAAACCAATCTACCCCCCGTAAAGTTTACACTATGACTGACTGTCTGACTGACTGACTGACTGACTGTCTGACTGACTTACTGACTCGTTTGAATTTTCGCCACTGATCACAATACTGCAAAGTTTCTCAAACTTTGCACTAAAAATGAAACGAGAGGAAACCAACATTTTGGATGACTATTAAGTTGTAGAATATGCTTAACATTATGTATTAGTATTATGTATTAGCTTGAGCAACACTTTTTTCTGTCTATCTTTCTCAAATAGATGAAAAAGTACCTCGGAAACAGCATTTTTTACAGCATCATCAAGATGTTCGTCAGAAATAATGCCTCTCTTTCTGATTCCATTTTCCTTGCAAAAGCGTTTTATACTTCGAACAGAAAAACCTCTTTGTTCCGGATACGCTGCCATAAGGGCATCCGACAAATCTTCTAATGTTTTTTTTCTTTGAGATAAGAAGCTTCTTATAAATTGTTCGTGTTCTTCTAAAGCCGCCATATTGGAAATTTCTGGTTTGTGATGGGGGGTGCATATTGAAGAGCATAAGCCCGCATCAGCCCTTTGATGGAAATTGAAATTCAGTTTGAAAATCCGTTTTCCCATGTTCAGAAAATAGTTTGAAAGTAACGAAGGAAAATCTTTATTTGGTTCCATTTTTCAGGCGAAGAAAACGGAATTCAATTCTATTTCCGTTTTTCTCAAACATAAAAAAGAAAAAACGAAGTTTTATGATCGCAATTCGATTTTTGTTTCAGTGAAAAACGAATGGCCCTTAGATACACGCATTCTCTTGGTATAGAAAATGCTATAGCTCATTATCATGTTCGCCACGTAGTCGGAGAGTTCAGGATGCTTCTGTAGAAAATCTAGCGTATAGAATTTTAAAGCTTCCTTGTACGCCACAATTACACGTCACAAAACGTCATAAACTTGGACATCTCGACATCCAAAAATCGAGATGTCGACCATACATAGCTCAGGCAAACGGACTGGCACAAGTACAAGATCAGCTAACCTGCAAGAATAGGTGGCAATAAAATAACCTGAATGCCTTGCTTGAATTTTGACCAATGGTTGTCCAATCTCTAGCAACTTCTCATAATTATATTCAGCAACACTTTTTTTATCAAAGTTCAGCCAGATAGCATCATTAAATCGATCCATTGCAACGTTAGGTCTGGAGTGCTCTATCAATAGTTTTCAGTCCATCTTGGTGACTTGTCCATCTCTCATTCTAATCAATAGAATGCAAAGTTTGACCACCAATACTGCTTTGTTATTTGCCATTTGATTTACCGCATCCTCAAAATGTTGGTTGAGTCTACATAACAACATCCAGTTCTTGATTTGGTCTTCCTCGTTCGCTTCAGGTTGATCCTGTTCATCATCGCTTTCATCATTACTTTCAGTTCCATATGTTTCATTTGCCTGTGCAGCCTGGAGCAACTCTGTTTCAATAGAACACCCAAATTCATTGTCTCTAGCAAAATCTGTTTGAAAAAATGCAGCATATGCGTTAATAAATATATCATCAGTTTCCTCCATGTCATCCCATGCATTTGATGACTTACCTTCCCATGGTTTAAACTTAATCAGTTGGATACTTGCAGTATTTCCCAAAGGTTGGGCCACCAGGATTGGCTGAAATTTACTAAGCTGTGATAATCAACGTCATGATTATCAACTGATGTGGCTTTCACAGCAGAAGGGTGTGGTTCTCGTACTATCCAGATTGTGGTCAAAAGGCAGTCAACATTTAAAATGGATAAAATGGATAATGGATAAAAAGTAACAAATTGGTTAATACCTAATTTGTATATTTTTTCATATTTGCTGTTTACACTCCCAATTCCTTTAGGATAGGAATTACCAATTCCTGAAGAAAATATACGGAATTTTTCTTTGTTTTGTGAATGTATGTGGAAGCTGTATTTTTAGACATTAGCAACATTGCAGCATTTGTATAGTATGCTAACCACTGATGCTAACTGTATACAGTAGGCTTAAAGTCAAAAAAAGTCTTATAAGTGTTCTGCAGCACACCTTGGACACAATCTGTGCAATTTATATGCATGGTGAGTGTAATTTAAACATACCATTAATACTTGATTATTTAAACTTACCTAATTAGCTTTCTCTCCGCAACTTGACCCTCTCTGACAATATCCTGGCAAGAGAATTCAAAATCGTCAGGGGAGCCTTTTTGTTCAATCAGGGCTAATATTTCTTGCAGTCGTCTATACCAATACTGATTTGTTCCTGAATTTTTGAAACATATCGTTGCAAAGGATTTACCATTAGATTTGCACTCATTGAGTTTACCATTGTTTTTATTGCCTTCATAGTCAAGTTTGCATCCGCTGGGTGTTGCCGCAAGTAAATGTTAGCTTGTGACAACAACTGATGTCTCTGCTTCATATTCAGTGCCCAGTATGGGAACTGGGAATGTGAGGCAAACCTCCATTCAAACTTACCATTTGGTAGCCTCTCTGTAAACATTTATCAGGTGTTTGAATGCCTCTGCCAAACTTACCTCATGTTGCCTGACTCTGTTTATTGGGTTACCTTTCCCATAGGGAAATAGTGTTGGAAACGCCATGCTTGCCAAACCATCTGTTTTAAATATTCCAAAACCCCAAAGGGTCAACCTCATTTACTGCATCTTGGATAGCTGCACCAGCCTTTCTTTGTCTTGACACATAGGAATAAATGATGTACTGCCATTTGCTACAACTAATTTTTCAACTGTTGCATTAGCACTCATTACAGGTTCTTGCGGGGGTCCTTCATTTTCAAAATGAACTGAAAGTTCACTGTCATCAATAACATACTTTAGCTCTTCAGGGACACCATTCTCTGGTTGGCTTTGGAGAATATCCCTGTCAATCTCGATGTCTTTGAAAAATGGATTGTTTGTTTTCAACCACAATATAGCTTCCAGCACTCTGTGTCGAGGAACTGTAAAATCTTTATGTGTTTCATCAGCACTCTGTCTACGCACAATCATAACAGGCAAGTCAGCTACTTGTGCAGGCAACCTACTCAAAAAACTTCGCCATATCCTGTGGTAGGTTTAGTACATGACCTTTGTAGCCTCTTTGCCCACCATGTTTTCTTTAGACTTGCATGATGAGACAAACCCTTGAAATCAGTATTTCCTCTACGTGTGTCAAACCTCTCAATTGCTCAGGACAATACCTGGGTCCATGTCATCGCCAGCACTGAAATTCTTTGTGGACTTCTTGTCTCTTTTGCACCGGTAACAAACCAAAGGATCTGCTGCCAAGTTTTGCCTTGTTGGCCAAGCCTCTTTTCAAATTGTACACTGCCGATACTCTAAATGCTCTTGATCTAAATGAAAACTGTGCATTTCATTCTGAACAAACTCCTGCTCATGCAAGGGGTTGTCAACATTTCGCCAACCACCTTCATGCAAATATTGGTCTGAACTACTTACAACATCATTGACATTTGTTAACTCATTGTCACACATTTTACTTCCCTGTTCATTATCTGAATGTACCTGTTGTTGTTCTGCTCTTGTCTCGTAGGATCTTCTTGTTCTTTCTCTCATATTTTTAAGTTGTTCTGCTCCTTTCTGAACACTTTGAAGCTGCCTTTTCTCTCTTGCATAAGCCCTATTTGGTTCCCTTTGTATATCCCTTTGTTCACTTGTGCTTGCTTCAGTTCTACCTTTATAAGCACCCTATGCTTCGCCAAACGACATTCCTTCTTTTTCAACATTTCCTGTTTTTATATTTGTTGTCTTTTTTCTCTTTGCTTTTTCTTTCATCGCTTGTACTTACCTCAATCTTCTCTTGTATGCAGCTCTTTGCTTTGCTAACCGACGCTGCTTTTCCTCTTGCATTTCCTTATTCAACAGGGCTCTGTTGTTTACTCTTCTTCATTCTAACCTTTCCTCATTATTACCTGCTTTTCTCCCATCTTTTCGTTTCTCGGCTTCTCTATTCACCATTTTAAAGTGATCAATTTAAAGTTTAATCAAAAGTTTTTAATTTTTGTTTTAAAAAAGTGACTTGAATTTTTTAAAATATCTTTTTAAAAAAAGTCTTTTAAAAAGACAGTTAAATATATGACGTTTTGCTTTTAAATACAAACTTCTTCTCTTAGCCAATCAGAAAGTTGTTAAATACCAGTCTTTACTCATTCAAATTTTGCGCATGTGCACAAGTACCACAACCATTGAACGTCCATGACATTTGGGCAACGTTGGATTCGGCTATGTTCTGTCAGAATATCCGGGTGTAATTTCTAATCTCCGGGCGGAATTAGTGCCCTTGCACAGAGCTTCGCGCTGGCTCAGGATTTAAACTGTCTTTTCTGTATTGCATGGTGCATACATGGTTGTTTTCAATCGTTGGCAAATTTGTGTAGTCTTCGACTTAGATTCCAGCCCCTTAAAGGCGGAACCATGATTAGCCTTTACCTATAGTTCCAACACATAAAGTTTTGAAACAAAACACAGATCATCTACTAGAGACAAACTGGACAATATTGATTTAATTATGACTATTAGGTCCACGCATGTTATAGAGTCTACTTTCATTCTGGTTGTCATCAGCTTCCTCCAACAACACAATCACCGGTCATATGAGTTCACTTGTTCTTGTCTTCAACTTCACGGAGCATACGAGACCATCGTTGAGGTTGGTATAAACTTCCAGAACTCTTCCAAGTGGCCAGAAATTTTGTGGTGTCTTATCATCCAGGACCAGCACAATGTCATTGACTGCAAATTTCCTGTGTTGTTTATTCCACTTCTGCCGAACCTGCAAAGTTGAAACATATTCCCTGACACCATCTCCGACTGTATACATCTTGCTTGGTGGTAGTTGTGGGGGGGGAGTCCCGGCCCGGCTCTCAGCAACAACAGGTGGTTAGGGGTCAGAGGTTCCATGTCACGCAGATCATCCGAGAGCTTGGTGATCGATCGTCCATTTACGATTGCCTCGACTTCGCACATCAAGGTATTAATGCCTATGTCGTGCAGGATTTGTTCTCTGGTCACAGCCTTGAACACCTTTTTTGTGGTTTGATACACTTTTTCCAGACACCACCATGATGGGAACCAGTGGGAGGATTAAATGTCCACTTGACATTCTTTTGTAGAAGAAATTCGTTGATCTGCAATTTGTTCCATTTCTTCACAGCTTTACGTAGCTCTTTCTCTCCTTTTACAAAGTTTCCTCTGTTGTCTGATCTCGTCTGGTTGGCCTCTCCTCAATATGAATATACAAAGGGCATTGATGAAAGAACATGTGTCTAAAGAGCTTGAGACTTCAAGATGGATAGCACAGATCGTCAAACACGT